GCTGAATTAGAGAACCCCTGAAACATCGCAACGGCCTACGACCGGCAACGAGAAACGGTCGGAGCATTGATCTAACAAACAGGGTAGTAAAGTTAATCAATAACAATGTATGGCTCAATCGTATTTACATAAATACGTGGACACCTGAGCTTTCGAATTGGTACTTTAAAAGTCAAAGCTAGCAGTAGCAAATATCAGTTCCGTGAATGCGGCTCTCGTCCTTAGCCCTAGTTCTGAATCTAGCCTTCTACGCATATTATTACAAGGGGAAGCACGCTTGACAAAAATTAATGTTCTTATGTTCGGCATTTGGTAAAGTTAGTAGTATCACTTTGTACTGATTTCTGCTACCCCCCATCCTTTAGCCTGTAAAATCAAAATCCGTATTTTTGCTAAACTCATACGGATTCATTCGACAGGAATTCAGTTTGCCATATTTCTCTAGATTAAAAATGACGGTTTCATTCTCAATCCGCTATGCCTTAGCACAGGTCTCTTGTTTCTACCTTGTCTGCATTTGTTAAACAGAGGGAGGACCCATTTTTTTGGCATAGATATACCTAATGGCATAAAATGAAAGAGATTAGCTTTAATATGTTAAGAGTGATAAGTTGAGCCATATTTAGGTTGGTCAGGAATGAGTCTGCGTTATCGTGATAGCGGAAATCGGGTTGTGACATTTTATAGGGTTTTTAACACTGAGCGAGTATATATTCTCTGTGTTTCGGACCCAAACATTTAGAGGTAAAAGATACCTCCTCCAATGGGCACGTGCGGCGGCAATGCTGCTAATTGTCGTTAATTGCTCAATGACGATGATCGTGTAAACGGGATATGGCAGATATTATTTCTGGGAAAAGAAATGACTGAAATTGAAAAAGTATTAGGAAATTAAGGACACGCTTACGTAAAAGAGACTCTGCTTTTTCTTTTTACAATATCGGCAAGTTGTATTAGGTCAAATGAGATACATTCGAATGGGTCACGTTCGACTGAATTTCGAATAAAATTTCTGCAGTTAGAGACGCTTCCGTAAGACCCATCCCGTTTTTTCACGTGGTACTACCCCAACTTGAAATGGGACAAGCAGAATGCTAAAATTAGTCGTAATTTAAAAGACATTGATGTGTGTGCTTCCAGGGACATATACGCCCCAAGACAGGGTGAAATCGAGTATCTTGCCGGAGTTTGAGATGACATTATCTCCTTTATGTGATTTCCTGGTCCTGCTACCCTAAATAATCAACACAGTTAAAACATTAGTGCAGATCGACGAATTCGGTTTGGGCGTGGACACAAATCTGTGCCCGCTAGTTTCATTCGATAATACTTGAAGGTATTATCCGTTCAACTAATATTTCTATAATTCCTCACCTATTATTTCGGTTAGTCAAAATAGCGACCGCTGGTTAACGTAAGATAATATGTTTTCACAGATATCGAAGACTTTCAAAAGATTTCGCCTCTTTAGATAATCTGATCCAAGACGCTTGGGTGCTTCTATGCGTCCCTATCGGTACGTGAGATCTGAAGCGTTTTGGTTAGTCTAGGAAGTGCGTTGTCTGCCTATAGCAATTCGTGTAAAGATACAAAGCGTTCGCTTGACGCAAACCTAATTAGGGTCATCATAACCTATATTTTGAATAATTATAGATCAATTATTATAAACAGTTTCGCTTGATTAATGAAAAAAAATCATTTGATTTATTTCAACTAAATGGTTCGAGTTTTACCCTCAGAAACGCCACTACATTAGACAACTCTCCCCGGCTTTGAAATTACTCTCTGTTAGCTATGCTGTGGCTGTGTCTACCCTTACAGTTCGTAGAGGAGCATTTTACTACATATTTACGTTAATAGCAGAGGTATTAGTCTTAAGTCTAGCAAAATACAGCTTTAGCTACGATGCAAATTGCCATATTATCTATATTATAGTGAACTACCTACGTTCCTTTAGACATTGTCATTAAGCTTCAAAGCAAACAATCAACAACCTTTATCTAGTTTAAGGGTCTCACAACAAAATTGTCTCTGTGCTATCTTTACATCTAACACTGACCTAACGAGCATCTGCGGAGCGAGTGTCTTTGGCAAACTCTCCATCATTATATCGCGAGAAACAAAAGCCTAGAGGGTTCACCCTAATGCTACTCACGATAAACGTCCCAGTCAGTTTGACTTAAGGCAATAGGGTGGTCTTGAATGAATATCGCGTCGAAACGATTAGTTGATACATATTGACTATCAAATGAAAACATAAACTGTAACTTGTCCTAAATGCACACCAAATCGAGCTTGAATCTATAGCTCCGCGTCCGTGTCCTTATATATAATCCGTAGCACTTATCGGATTCATCTACCGTAATGATTTATTTATATGCAATTAACCTGAGCAAAAAAGAATGTTGCGACCCAGGCTTCATTTCAGGTAAGGGCGGTCGCGTTTACATTACTATATATTATGTTATATAAGGTGAAACAGATGTCTATTCACAGTTGGAGAGCATCAAGGCTCACTTGATACACTTTAGCTGGGAAGTCTTTACTTGACATTTGTTAAGGCAGCGGGAGATACACCGACGGAGTTAGGCAGTTCGAACGCCTCGATATCAAGGCCCGCCTAACTTCATAGTCACAAATATAACACATTAGTTTAGAGAGGAATACATTGTTTTATATGTGTAGCATTAAGGATCTCGCACTCGAGAGGGGTAGTTCTCAAAGCCAAGACTAGTCAAAGTAGCGCTGGTGTCTAAATCACGCCAATGGGAAATTTAACTATAGATTCTCTATTACCCATAGCGTTATATGACATCTTGGCTTGTAGCACTCATTGAATAATAATTATAAATACATAAATTACTTGCCCGGTATCTCGCACATGCTTCAACCTATCTTTTCGCTGTCGTTCCTGAACCACACATCTGTAGCCCAACCGCAGGCATTATAATATTTGCTTGTTACGCCTTTCATTACATACGTTGCGATCGGTTCCTTTTACAGAGAGTAATTCACAATGGTCCTACCACGGGCCTGTGCACATTGATAAAATGGCCCGACCAATACATGAATGTCTTGTTCGTGCTTTCTAAAATTAAGTCGCCTGCTCTAAATAGGGCGTAGCTTAAACTCCACGGCTTCAATGTCAAAGACAATGTGAATTTCAGTTATTTCGTTTAAATGGGTACGCGAGTTCGGTAACTAGCGAGACTAGTTGCAGCCCTGTAAAAACTTTCAAACGATCTTCCCGCATCGAAGTTTTCGTAGTGTCGGTTACACCAACCTTCTAAACTTTTTTTACAATTTTTTTTTTGCACAAAGGTTCCCATTCTGGCTTAGAATGCCGCTCACATTTAATGCGGTGTCTTTTTTCCCGCTTCGTTTGCCGTGCTCAATAATAAAAGTGCCGTGTAATAAAAAGCGGATCTAGTTAATAAGAACGCTCAAACTATCAAGCGGCTTTTCTTCTGACTGTCTAGAGACCTTTGCCCCCATTCAATAAAACGAAATACATGATTGGCTTTTATCGTCTTGATCTTCAAACAGATGTAGCTTCTATAAACTCAGTCAAGGCTTTTGCATTCATAGATGACACAGGGTAGTATATTTCTGTGTTTGTGAATCAATACAGTGATCAAACGACTATTATATACATAGAATGGCATTACAAACTGCAACACCGTTCTCGGTAGTAAACTGTATCCTCTTTAGCGTAATGGTTTGTAAAGCGTCGAAAGTAAGGGCTATTGAAATTGTTGGTTTAGTTTTTTTTTTACATAGGCTTGTTACTGGCTGTATGATTCAACAGGGGCTTTCCAAATAGTGTTGCAGGACCCTGAGGCTACATAGATAGTAGAAAACAATATAAGCTCGAAATGTCGCTATCAATAATATGTATTTTTCTGGTACCAAGCTTTAACACAGACTGAAATAAAGAAATGAACGACTTTGCGGGAATAGTTTCGGAAAGCGAAAAGAATTTCTACGGGCCGTCATTCCAAAAGGAATCACAGGATTTGCTTTGCAATGTCGATCCTTCCAATAACCTTTTTGAACAAGAACAGGAACCACACCTTCAACCCATACTATATATACCAAAAAATCTATCTTGAATGTTTGTCCGCTTTCACCATCATGGATTCGTAAGAAATACTGCCCGTAACCCTGTTGGCTTCATGGGGATCGTCCTAGACACTCACACACGTGATTCCGCACGTGAGCTCGTTGGATATCAACGGCTAGATCAATACTCGACTGACGCGCCGCCTGCCGGCTCTCTGCAGAAACAAACCTACATACAAAGCCGCACTGCTGATTTCGATGTGGTCCCACCCCCTTTCCCAGAATACTTACGACCTTTTTTCTCCCATAGCATTTTACTTCTAAACACGCGGGCTAACACTCTGTCCAAAAGACGATTCGAAGTTGAACAGCAGCGCCAGTGAAAAAATTCCCATCTTATGAAAAAGGGAACAAGAGGAAGACGAACGCGCAAAAAGCAGACAACCCCGCTGGGGCGGCATGTACGCTAATGTTCTGCAGCGCGGCAGTGGTCAGTCGATCGGTAAAGGTCCACTAACTGCTGCACCGACTGTTGCAGTGGGCACTTTCCGTTGTGCCCCTAACTCTCGCCAAACGTCGCACTCTCGAATCAGCAGCCGCGTACTGCATCAACCCTGAAGAGGATTCCGACACACGCACAGACTACGTTGGCTGACACACAAACTCGTCTGGGGACATCCTAGGGGAGGGCTGAATTATGAGGAGGTCCGTACGTCCGTAAGAAAGGCTCTCCTGCTTGCTTGTGAGAGAGGGTCGATGCGTCGAGGATCATAGCACCGACGTGTGGAGAGCAGCAGGAAGGCTAGCTGGACGTGCGGACCGACCGACAGAAGAGGACAGGGGTAAGTCGACGAGACTGGAACACACCAGACTATTAGTGACGGCAATAGGGTACCAGGGGTCGTCCCGCGGGGAAGCCGTGAAGCGATCGTGTCTGGTATTCCGCAAAGGAACCGCGGCGTGCCGCAGTAGGTACGATATGTTCCATCCTGCAGCCGATTGCTCTCAAGTCTGCGGCTCAAGCCTTGTGCGCCAGTTTTATTACGGGCCCTCGCCATTTGAAGTATGGCAAACGAACTAGACAACAGAGAGTAACAGAATGCAGTTCGTAGACGTGCCATGCCTTTTGCCATGAAGTTTCTACGTTAAGGCGATCATCAGTTAGTTATACAATCATCGTGGTGCTGTTGCTTTATTGTATTGTAATGCATCTTGTTAGTACTCTTTCGTTATGCTCGTTGCTGCCAGTGCCATCCAGGTTATCTACTAGATCGTTATATGCAGTCCTGGTTCTTGCGTGCTCACGTACTTCCTGCTTCGTATCAGGGGCATTCGAAAGGGGCAACGCAACGAGTCTTAGACACAAACATTAGGGGCAGTATTTGCTGGCGGGATACTCATTGTAGAAAGCCTCCATTGCTGTTACCACGATCGATGGAACGACAATGGGCAAACCACAAGGAAAGCCGCCGTTGCCATCACGAGTCGCTCCTAAATGAGCGGCAATAGCGGCGAAGGCGATAGTAACAGCAGCAGCAGCAGAAGCAACCGAGCTACTACGGCCAGCTTCACGGATGTCACCTAGGCGCCCGGGTCGTAACATAGCGAAGATGCGAATGAAAGTCTGTCGGCTGAAAAAAGCAATGTTGGTAATCGTCGACAGGTGTCGCGTGAGTGTTATAGTGTAAAAGTAGTCTCGTCCAGATTATAATGCTGTGATGTAAGCTCCGTGCAACGGATATAACGTTAATATCAGCAGAGAAGGACGGCAATCCGTCACGTGTCGAGCGCTACCTCAGGTATCGACAACAACGATAGTTACAGTGTTTGCCGATTTTAAGGGTGCAATGTTCGCAGTGAATATTCTGGCTGTAGGGTAGGCAGTTAGGCAAAGCAAAGGAGGGACGCCTCGCGAACATGGACAACTTCAAAGCTAACGAGATAGAACTATGACTTCAAACCGAGATCACACTTCAAGTAAGTTTAATGGTGTGAACCACTGGACGACAAGAATAACGAGCTTCTATTGCCTTTAAATTTCCATAGCGATCATCAGGATCTATTACTAACATTTGCATACGCCCATATCGAAAACCTCTATATAGTACGTCCGTGTAGTACATGCATAGCTTAGTTTCAACCTCTAGCCATGCTGACGCGTACAGCTTGTTCTCTTTCTAGTTTTGACCTATTACCTTTTCTACTTCGTATCTGAGGTGTTCGTTCTAGTGGACGTTTAACTGATTCAGACAGCAAGATAGGCTCGTTAAATGGGGATTCTCTATGTGTGCCTTGTCAGAAAGGCTCGTTCCTGCTGGGTTATCATTGGGTCAATGAGTTACAATCACAGCGAATAGATTGAGCAGAACAGATAAAAGTCGAACACCGCCTTCACCATGGAAACAGATCGTGTGCAGCATCATTATAGTGATGATATACATTTCTCTATACTTGACGATATATGCTTTCCCGTTAGCCTCTGCTTTACAAGGTCCTACAAAACTATGCCGTTTCATAAAAAAATTTCTACATGACAAGCAATTTTTGTCATTCAATAAAACAGGGGCCTTGGATATAAACAGCAAGTGATAGCTCCATATACCACATTTCAATATATACAGTGTTTCAAGCATTTGGTTGATGGAATGTCATAAACATGTTGCGTTCATGGATAATAAAGGGGCCATAAAAGAACTATTTGATTAAGCGCATTTGCTGTCATATCGCACCATGCTGCATCGTGAATAACTGCAAAATGAGGAGAACGACAGTGAGGTTTCTGGAATAGGACAAAAAACCTACTTGCAGAGGTTCCGGCTTTTAAAATGATGATTTCTTAGTGGCAAATAATAACCTGTATTTATTATCTCGAAACAGTGGGTCCACATGGGTGCACGGAATAAATTAGGATATGATTGATGTAATTTTTATAGGCTGCAACCTAGTAACTATAGATTCTTGGATAAATTTGAGCATATGACAAAAAAAAACAGTCTTCACAAACATTTTTATTTAACGTAACTTTTATTCACCTTGATTTCGTCCTCCGAAGCGCTCGAGGGTCAGTTTCGAGAAGTTCGTTTTTAAATTCGCGAATAGCTTTCAGTAACAACCGTCAGTAGCGTCATACGGATTCGTGCAGGCCAATTGGCATATCAAGGATGTAAGAAAGGATTTTGTGCTCACGGCAGGACAGCGATCTCAGAAATCTAAGTGTTTATAGAGAGCAAAAAGTGCAAAAATACCCAAAAAGGACTAACCCTTTGGGCTTATGTGAAGGGCCCAATTGATGAATTTTATTTATCTTTTAAAAAAAATTATAGTTTTGGCGTAGTTCGTCCGGCACGAAGGTATTGGACAACGGATGATATTTGGCCATGACAAGTTTATTTCAACGAAGTCTACCTTTTCTAGTGGCGCGATTAACGATCGATTACATGCCCGCCGCGGAATAATGAATTTCTATTTATGTAGTTTTACGACAGTCATATGGTGGGGATAATAAAAGATTTCAGATTAGGCATATTTATTGATTAGCCATTTCATCGCAATTTATTATTGCCTTAAGGGAAGTATCAACAACGCCGTCTTGCGGATTTTTTTGCGACCAGTTACCAGTGTGTGTTTGTCTTTTATCAATTAATTGAAAAATACCTTTTTGCCTGATTTGATGGAATCATCAGTCTTATATACTGCCAGCTGCAACGATCGCAGGCAAACATTTGCAAGAATAGCACCTAACCAGAGGGAAATAGCATCTTCATGTATAATTACATTATGCCTGCCATCGCCAGTTGTCGGAATGAGACATCTCATTCAGGTTTGTGTGTAGTCGAGAGATATCTTTAGCTAAGTTTATCCAATATAATAGGTTTGCCTCCGTTCCCACCTATAATATTGCCTTTTTTTGATTCAACGACAGGAAATTTGCTTAATCGATTGTCCTTTTTACGTAGAGCCTGTTCTTATTCTTTAACTATAGTTATCTACCGCAGTTTTCAATAAACAATCAAACTATCAAACGTATTGTCTATTAACACATCTGCATCACTTACATTCGTTTCTGTCAGCCTTCGTTAGATTTCCTTCCGTCGACTACTTTTCTACCGGGACAGTGCACCACCATTTGTTTTTCATTTCGGTTTTAGCTATATTTAAGCCAGGTCTCGCTTCCCCCATGGGGTATGCATAATCAGCCATCACTGGTGGTAGCTTGCGGGTACACCGACCATCGGGCCGATCGCTGCTTAGCTTCCACCCTCGCCGAGAGTTCACCGTTGCATACAACAAAAATCGGCGATCGTGGCCATTGCTGTAAAGGTCCTGACAGCGCGCCGCGGGGCTCTTCCTTGCGATTTTTTCTCTTGGGCTCTAAGTTCGGTTCTGATCTCGGCAACCGGATACTAACATTTTGCCAATGCGACAAATCACTTTCGAACACATATTGAATTACTTCAAACCGACTAGTTCTACTAATGCCCTTTTAGGGTTGAGGGTGATCGCTATATATCGCGCCGATGTAAGGGCTTAGCTGCATTATACGCTTGACTGTTACCTTGCGCTGCCTCGTCTTGATTCATCTCAATGGTGATCACTTGAAAAGAAAGTAGGTAATTGAGCGCTTAAGCCACGTGCGTCCGACCTCTCTGAAGAAAAAAGAAAATATAATAGGGAAAAAGCAAAAGCATAGCGCAAGTATACAAACAAAAATTATATCTAGTGAACCGTAAGTAATAAGTAGTACAATGGATGCAGCACGATGCAGAAGAAAGACAGTGGCGTTCCTTCCATTGCCAATAGGAATTAAAAATGTACCTGTCAACGTAAAGCCCGACGTGCAATAGCATCTTACCTTTGACCTTGACGGTACATCTACCTGTTCCTAACGCCCGCTGTCTGGGAACAGTAATATGGTTTTGCCGCTTCTAGGCGGATGAAAACGTAATGTTGTATGGTTAGACAATCCTGCAATAGGATTCACTATCAAGATTCATTGTATCTTGGCTTAATCGAGATATTAGTTTCCTATTTCTAAATGTGGGTAGGTGTATGTTTAGGTAATGGTGTTTACCTTGCTAACTCTTAGAAATCACTTTGACTTTTCAATAGAAAGGTTCTCACACATTTGGCTGGAAGAAGACTAAACTCTCCATAGCTTGTTGATTTGTTTACCACCTATTTAAATCGATGTTAGCCTTAACATGCTCATAGATAATTGTATTCTAAATATCTTTTTAAACGAATCTGTGTCTCTCTTTAGAATACGTCCTGCTCGTTCAAAGATAAAAACTAGCACAACAAGAAGAAGTTTTTAGCATTTCCAAATGGTTCTAAGGTTCCTCACAGCAAAATGCTTGATACTGCCTAGTCATCTGCTAAAGACAAGTGATGAGATACCTGATTCGTCCCGAGCTTTCGGACCCTTCTTCGACAGATCACTAATCTGCAGTTCTCTTCGACATAGTGTGAATCTGAATATGATCTGCCGACAGCGTGCAGGCAATTGGTTCGCTTATAAAAACATCCCAGAACGTGTTTGAGTGCTGGTCCTTCTACTGGGTACTTTATGGTGTAGGTTCGAATCCGGGCATAGACACATCTTGTTTCGTGCTGAGAGCCAGTCACGTAATGAACGCCTAGCGACAATGTCGGAGATAGAGAGATACACCCTGAATAGAGGTTATTAGCGGCTTTTTAGGTGCTATACGTGAGTTCATGTGAAGAATGACATAGTCAAAGGGCTGTTTAAGAACCCATGAAAAGTTTGAAAAGCCCTGCTGAATTTGCTCAGGAGGAAGAGATGATTATTTAATTGGAATAGATGGTTGTTTTAATGCAGACGAATTACCTGAAAGCAAACATTTTTTTTGAACGCGGTTTTGTTCACCACTGTATGTAATGTTTAAGGCATTTTATCGTAGTTTGCAATGATTAAAAGCAACTTCTCTGTACGCGATAAAGGATGCGCTGGAGAGGTAGTTCTTGACCTTTGACCCACGTGATAACAACCGGTACTGTACATAGACAATATTTGCTCGCTTCTACCCATGGACTTTCAGGCTCATATACTTATTTCTCCTTTTTTTTTGAACATTCTCTATATTATACGTTAATGTAATTTTTCCTAATTCAACCTAATAAAACAGTTCCGGCCATTTCGGCTCCAAACTGGGTAATTAATTTTTTCTAGTTATTTAATTACGCCTTACACTATTCCTCCTTATCTTTGTAGTGTCTTCCCGTCATAGTGTAGTGATAACGTGCTTATCTAATAAAGTGGAGAGCACGTGGTGATATAGGTTCCAAATCCGGGTGTGTGCACAGTCAGTGTTGTGCTTGCTGGAGCTAGCCGTCTAAAGCAATGTTTAACGACTTAAGCAGTGAATGTAAACCTCAAAACGTTTAATGTCGTACCGTTTGGCACTCTTTTCGCTGATCAGTAGCAGTTTCCCCGCTATCCTCTACACATCACGTTTTTTTTTTACTCATCGCACTTTTCGAGTTATTCAATAACATCGGTGAGGTGCCTGTTTTAACAGTTTGATCGTATTGTTGCAATGATTCCGTTACCTCCCTTCGGTCGCTCAATTACCCTCATCCCGATATTTTACTAACTTGTTTTAGTAAGCCTGTAACATCGAAGCTGGTGTTTCATAACGCGCTAATTATTCCGTCTTTTCATTGTGGTCATGCTGTCACTACATTACAGTTAACTTGTAAGCCTAACACTTTTTCCGCTATTCCATCACGCTAAGTGATGTTAAGTTGTCCAAATGTCAGTTCTTATGACTCGATTGGTCTATGCTATTCAAAAATGTTGAAAGTAAAATGTTTTGATGGAATTTTCAGGCTCTTTAACAGATCTTTACCCAAAATGTTGACTTAGTAGTTAGAAATCTCTTTATATCAGATCTCACAAACAGAGGCGTGAATTTATCGTGATAAGATCATATCGGAACACGTCACGGTTAGTGGGA